GAAAGCAACTCTCCAACAAAGTAAAAGCATAAGCAAGAATTGTTGAATTATTACATGTCTTGATCAACTTGTGGATTCTTCAGCAGAATTGAAGGTCTAAAGCAGTCTGCATGGTAGCTAAAGGATCCCATCCTCCATGGAACAGACGTCTGTCAGAGGCTGTGCAATCGGTGCTGAAGAATCCACAAGTTGATCAAGACATGTAATAATTCAACAATTCTTGCTTATGCTTTTACTTTGTTGGAGAGTTGCTTTCCCAAAGGATGGAGCATAATCTCAAGACCACAAAAATCCTCTATACATCTCAGAAATGCTCGCTCAGCGATTGAGCTACAGAGGATTTCCAAGATGATATTAAGAAGCATGCCGCGATAATTCCTGGGCGGAGACTAATTGCCAATCTGCCTCCCTCAGGGGCGCAATACTTCGACGAGGAGTGACGTGTAAATGAGGCGAAGGAGTTGTGGGTCTCCACCCATCCAGTTATCGCGGAAGGTGTTCTGAAAAGCGGGTTTCGAGAAAGATTGAACGCAATGCGGACCGTGTATAAATGCACATGCATAGCTTTTTCTGTCTGTGTTGTTGTGGTTCACAACAACTGGATCGACGGAGCGTGTCAGCGTGACGTGGGTTTTGGAGCGGCGCTGGACCATTTTCCAGCAATCATTTATCACCTCATCTGGTCAAAAAACGGACACCAGATCCGAACCGCCCCCCGATTCGGTTTTTAGGGATTATACATGATTTGGTAGATTTCCCAGCTAGCACGCTTGTGAATAAGGCTTTCTATGAACTTTTCCCCAAAATCCTCGATTTCAGCAAAAAATCCTTGGAAAGCATATGCCGTTGTGCGGATCTTGGTCAGATGCTGATGTCATACTCTACTTCCATAGGAATGCTGGACTCTATTCTAGCAACTGAGTACAATCTAATCAAGTTCATTCGTTTCATGTTCACCCACGACAGATATAACATTGCTCAACGTCTTGCGGATGCTGTAAAGGTTCTTTTTAATCAGAACTCCAGTCAAAATCAGAATACAAGTGAAGTATTGGTTGATAAAGGCAAAATAATTCTTATTAAATTTTAGGTGGTTGGCATTTACTGCGAACTGAACGAGAGACATTCACCTCTAGTGTCCCTTAAACGTATCTATGCTTTATACGCTGAACATCTTCAACGAAGCAATTCACAGGTAGTATGGCACCCACATATTCTGGCATTCACCCATGTCTCGATTTCTGTGCCCTCCATATGTGAGCTACCGGAAGGAAGATTCACGCTAAGCAGCGTTTAGACTTCGCGATGACGCGCGTCGATGCACTGTAACGCGTTTACACGCTAATGTCAACGTTCCAATGCTGTATCGGTCGGCGCGACACCTGCCGCTTTGAGAGAGAGAGAGAGAGAGGGAGAGAGAGTTTGGGGAATAGGAGAGTACCAGACAGTGTAATAAGGCAACGCGTACCGTTCTACTTGCCCCGCACTCTCTCTCTAAGCAGTAGCGGCCGGCGCCGTTCGACACCAGTCTGTGGCTGCGTTCTCGTCTATAGCATTAGGGCGCGGTTGCAACGCTAGCGCGTCGACGCGCTTACAACGCGTTATTGCGTGTCGTCGCGCGATACAGCGCCTTACTACGTCTCGTCGCGTCCCCCAAGTCTGAACCCTGCTCTATCGCGTGTGGCACACAAAGCAGCTTCTGTTGGTGTGACGACTTGTGAACGGCTCGTCGCGTTCGGTATTGAATTGATTGGACCTTGGTGCAGTTGCCGCGCACGTGACGCCGCTCACAATGCAGTGTCGCGGCATCGTGGATCTCCCAGCCACCATCGTCATGTGAGCAAGTTTTATATTGCAGAATGGATCCATTTTAGGAGTTGACAGTGCTGCAGTTCTTGGATGAGCTGCGTGCAGATAAAGGTGATCAGTTCCTGAGTGATGTAGCTTCCCATCTTGTAGACGGCTGGATCAAAGAAATTGACAGTGCTGTCACTATATGGACGGAGGTATTTAATTTCAAAACACTTTATTGAATTTTGGTGATTTCTCCTCCACTACCCTACTCTCAGAAATTTGGATAGCATTTTGTCTCATCTGACTTTGTACAAATTTTCTAATTTTCTCAACAGCTAGATTTGACTAGAAATCCTTTCGAGATAATCTGGCCCTCTGAACAGACATTTGTGCCATCAACTGACGCGAAAACACCTACAGGCGGTGACGCCACTACGGTTGGCGCTGTCGCTTGTAAGGGCTTGTTCATATACAGCGATATACAGCACCATTCTTGGGAATCGCGAAATCGGTACAGTTTTTTCTTTGCTGCGGATGCTGAGGCGTGCCATGGGGGTTGGGTTTTGCGCGGCGCCAGCCTCTCGTCCACCAACTGTCGTCTCTTCCCCACCTCAACAACTGGTGGAGAAGGTGCACGCGCCTCGCCAAAGCCAGCACTCTGAAACGCCTCAGTATCCGCAGCGGACAAGATCGAAAATACTAGATGCGAGCTGATTTCGCTATATTCCCACTTGGAACTAGTCGACAAGGTCGGTTCGTATCTAGTTTTGAGAGAGTTAATTTTTGTGACAAGTCTCGGTGCTCATAGCACCGGTACCAGACATTTCAGTACCTAACATATAGTCTTGTTCGCTGTGGGCGCTAGGGCGTTTCAAAGGGCTGGCTTTGGCGCGGCGCTGGCTTTTCTGCACCAGTCGTTGAAGCTGGCAGGCAACCGCAGTTGGAGGGCAGTAGGTTGGCGCCACGCCAAAGCAAGACCCTTGAAACGCCCATCTCTCGCAGCGAACAAGATTGTATGTAGCTAAAAGTGATACTCGTATTCATGAGGTCAGATCACGCCTGAGGTCCGGCCAAGTCGAGATTTTTTCAGAGTAGGGGTCGTAGAGGATAGAGAGTTATATTTTTTGCACAATATTCCTGATCCGCTTCGCGGCTCTACGTGTGCCCTTTCTTTACTGCAATTACTGAACTTTTGCATTTGTTTTGCATTTTAAAAGCTGATTCAATAGGTGTCTGTTGCTCAACGCAAACGACTCGTAGCATCTGCTAGTAGCGTGATTTTGCGCTTCTTGAACAAGGACCCCATTACATGGAACTCTACCATCAGCTGAGCTCGATCGAGATTCTACAGGTAATTAATTTCTCTTAACATGCTTCTTTTCTATTGAGTGTTGAGCGTCTTTCGCGTTTTAGGACCGCTACAATATGTATGTCACCACCCCGCAACTTGACATGAAGGAATGGCGAGAAGCAACTCTGAAGAACTTTATCGAACGTGAAGAACGTTCACTGCTAGACGTTTGTTTGTTGATTGTAGCTATCAGATGAGAACGAGAGTGATGATGAGTTCTGCAGGTGTTCGCCTTTTCAAGAACTCTCGGAATGTCAAGAGATGAAG